CGAGTATAAGCTGAGGTGGCTTTTTTCAGCCCAAAAAGTGGGCTGAAAAACTAGGCTTATACTTGAGTATATACAGTAAGTGTTTTTATCTTCATGAACTTCTTTCAGATTGGCCCCCTTTTCAGTTTTGTCCTTTGTTGTTTTCCAAGAAAATATGTTCACTATAATTATGGTGAGATAATTGCTACCTTCCACTTTTACAAGAAGGCCACAGTATAAATAGATGGTGAATACAGATTTGTAGGTATAGAGAAAGAATCCCTTCAGAGCAAAATATGCACCCAAGTAATATATCCTTGTTTTTTCCTTAGATGTTGCTATGCTTGCTTTGATATAAGATGTGCTTGCATACTATCATAATCTAGGCACAATTTTAGGTTCAAATTTAGGCCTATACAACCTTGGAAACACGCCATTTTTTATTTTTAGTAATTTGAAAATAATGGGCACTTTTCAGGAACCAACGGGATGTTCAAAATAAGTTGCAGCGAGGACAGTACCAAATTTGGTTACAGCACTTTGTTTTCTGCCCTAGCAGGTTTTCCATGTTTTCCACCATTGAGTCATACTTCTGTGACTCTTGCAAATACTCTGTTTTACTGGGGCTGTGACATAGGTTCTCCTAATTCCGCTCCCCCCCGCCCAAAAAAAGATTATTTTGCATTTCACAAAATCCTGCCATTTCTGGCCGCAGAAACATTGACATTCAGATTAGTTTTAGGAGATAGGGCAGATAGGTAAGGCCTTACAAACCACAATATCATTAAAGTGAACATGTTGATGTATAGCTAGTCCTCAACCTATGGCCACAATTGAGCCCAAAATTTCTACTGCTAAGTGAAACATTTGTCAAGTGAGTTTTGCCCCATTTTACGACTTTTCTTGCCACAGTTGTTAAGTGAATCACTGCAGTTGACAAATTAGGCATACGATTGTTAAGTGAAACTGGTTTCCCCATTAACTTTGCTTCTCAGAAAGTTGCAAAAGGTGATCACATGACCCCCTGCACACAGCTACTGTCTTAAATATGAGCCAGTTGCCAAGCATTTGAATTTTGATCATGTGACCATGGGGGGTAAGTGTGAAAAACAGTCATAAGTCACTTTTTTCAGTGATGTAACTTTTAACAGTCACTAAATGAACTGTTGTAACTTGAGGACTACTACCTGTATTGAAGACTATTACCGTATTTTTCAGAGTATAAGACGCACCCTTTTCCCTCAAAAAAGAAGCTGAAAATCTGAGTACGTCTTATAGACTGAATACAGCATTTTTGCCTCCTGAAACCCTGCCCCTTCACCAAAATGGCCGTTCGTAGCCTTTAAGAGGCTTGTAGAGTGCTCCTCGGGGCTGGAGGAGCAAAATTGAGCAAAAACAGGCCTTTTTTGCTCAATTTTGCCCCCCTCCAGCCCCGAGGAGCACTCTACAAGCATCCTAAAGGCTATTCATGACCTTTTAAAAAAAATGGGCCCTTTTTTTTGTGAAAAATGGGTTGTTTTGGGGACGTCTGTAGAGTGCTAAAACTTTTTTTTAATTTGCCTCTTCAAAATCTTGGTGCATCTTATACTCTGAAAAATACAGTAATCCTGGATTGACTTTATATATAGAACAGCAATAACAAATTTTGCATTCAAATGTGGAGTAGTTTATAATACTGAAGCTATTGTAAGCTCTACCAACTTAAAGAAGAAACTGTCTCAGATCTCACTCTTGTTCCTATTCTCAATGTCCAGGACAAGCATTGTTCGTCCTCCTGTTGACATCCGCAATCTCACTCCTTGGAGGACTGACCTTTGGATATGAACTCGGAATCATCTCAGGAGCACTATTGCAGCTGCAGGTGGCTTTCCATCTTCGTTGTATTGAGCAAGAGGTCCTTGTGAGTGCCTTACTCATTGGAGCTCTCGTAGCTTCTTTGGTTGGAGGAATCTTTATTGACCGGCAAGGAAGACGGAAAGCAATATTGCTCAGCAATGGAGTTTTGATCTGTGGCAGTCTCATCCTGACATTTGCTAGGTCACTTATTTGGCTGGTGAGTGGGCGTCTGACTGTAGGTTTTGCCATTTCTTTATCATCTATGGCGTGCTGCATATATGTCTCTGAAATGGTGGCTGCCCATCAGCGAGGGCTATTGGTCTCCCTTTATGAAGCTGGCATCACCATGGGCATCTTACTTTCGTATGCACTGAATTATATCTTTGCTGACACACCTGAGGGATGGCGATACATGTTTGGCTTGGCTATTGGCCTGGCTGTCATCCAGCTTCTCAGCATCCTGTTCCTCCCCAACAACTCCAGGACTTTCAGCGCACGCTACAGTGTGACTCATAGTAGTCTCATTCAATCTCACAAGGATGAAGATGGTGAAGATGTAATATTTACATGCCCCGTGGAGAAGAATTATTCTCTTGTAGATCTCTTCAGATCAAAGGACAACATGAGAAACAGGACTTTGGTTGGCCTAGGATTGGTCCTCTTTCAACAGTTCACTGGACAGCCCAATGCCCTCTATTATGCATCGACTATCTTCCGTTCTGTGGGATTTCAGACTGATTCATCTGCTATCCTGGCCTCTGTTGGTTTAGGGGTGATGAAGGTTATCGCAACTCTATTTGCCATGTTTTTTGCAGATAAGGTTGGCCGAAGGGTGTTGTTGATGGCTGGATGTTGGGTGATGGCTTTTTCAGTTATGATTATTGGTCTGGCCAGCTGCTCTGTTCCATTAGATATGGTTAAAGACTGTGAAACACTCATAGATTCCAACAATACTTCCTTCAGTTCACCTCCTCTCCACATAAATTCAGTTTCTCCACAACCAACTGCTTCCTATTTCTTATTGACAAAAGATACTAGTGAAATACAAGTTGAATCAACTTTTGCTATCATGGGACCAGCAGTCAATGCCAATAATAAAAGTGAAGAAAAAACCATTACATTAGAAACTGAGAAAACCCAATTTCTCACCCAGTCAGTGGAAGAAAAAGAACGGGATACCAATTCTTCAATCAGTGAGCCCTCTTCTAAGGGAGACATGCTCCTAAACTGGATTACACTCCTGAGCTTGATGGCCTTTGTAAGTGCATTCTCAATTGGATTTGGACCAAGTAAGTATCTTCCTGTTTTCATATTTCTTGTCTTAGAGTCCTCTTACATAGATAAACCACATCCATACCTGAATGTGTTTTGAGTCTTAATAAGTAGTTTATTATGTTTGTTTGTTGGGCTTCTGTGTTGCCCAATCAGTTTGGCTCTGAAATGGCCTGCAATCACTTATTACAGTATTAAAATTAGAATATAATCGTGTGTGCCATAATGGAACAAGTGAAGTAAGTCCTTTGATTCATGAATCTATGCATGCAAACTATAAATTCATTTGCAGTTTCAGCAGGAGTTCCTATTCTTCATTAGAGTACTCCATAATAAAGAGGGTCAGGAATGGGGGGAAAGTGTTCATTAAAAAAAAATAACTCGGGAAAAGAGCTCTTAATTTTCAGTCATTAGGTTCCTTAATTAAATTTTATAGGGCTCATCCTGGCTAAACATGAATAGGCTTTTGAGTGGATAATTTTCTAATCTCCCAAAGCCACTCTATGTTCACTTCAGAGATGATTTTAGACCAGTGTAGCAATCTTGCGCTGAGGAGTTTCATTTAGTAACAAAACAAAAATGAAACTGCTTGGTTTCCAAAGGCCACAAGGTTTAGGGCAGGTAACATGAGAAGTTTGGGGAGGTGGCTATATTAAAATTCCGTTACTCTGCAGAAAGACTAGCAGCAGGTTTATCCAATTCCCATTCTGGATATATTTGTGGAACTGAAAGAAGTTGGGACAGATCACATAAGAATCCATGGTTTATGCACCTACTGTATGTCTTAGACCAGAGGTGCCAAACTCACAGCCTGTGGGTCGCGAGATACGTCATGTGCTGGCCACGTTCATGCCCAGTTTAGCAAAAGGGGAAAAAGTGATACGTCCCATGACAACACCATGATGACACAAGTTTGACACCCCTGTCTTAGAGTATTGCTGAGTCTCACTTCAAATTGAACATGCTAAGGACAAGCTTTCGCCTATGTTTTGCTGCTAAGCTAAGCACCTAGTCTTGTTCCATTCAATAAAGTGGAATTACTGGAGTTTTTTTCTCTCTCACACGCACACTTTCTGAAAGAGTTCCTTTTACCTATCTGTTCCAGGAAGTAAGCACTGTGTTCAGATGTTATTTACGTACCTAGTTAAGCAAACATAACTAGGGATAGCATACATCTTCCAATTTATAATTCCACAGTTTGCAAATAAAATGTCAATATTATCAGTCGAGGCATTCGTAGTATGAACGGTGAATCCAGCATATTTTGTATGCCGGCTTCAAATACTTAGAAGTCACCTGAATGAAAGAGGAACCTGTGTGGGCTAGTTAGAAGCCTTAGAAAAGATGATTTAATCAGGGGAGGTTTGCATTTAATTAAAAGAAAAGTATTATTTTAAGAAAAGCTGAAGTTCAGATTAGCTGGTTTTTATTGACTGACAGTTTAATTGATTTATATGATTTCTGCACATTGCTACTCTTCCTTTCAGAAGCAAATAGGCTGGTTTACAAAAGACTTTTTAAAAAACAGTCTTAAATGCAATAAAACCAGAAATGTTAGAAACCAATAAATACAAAAACATTAAAATAAATTTAGTTTTTAATGAATGAACAAAAACGCTGGTCATCTTAAAGTGAATCTATCCCTAGAGTAATTGTTATCTCATAAATTGTTGGGTGAATGGTCATTTCTACAATTATTTTCAGAAAGATAGCATAGGGAACAACTGAATATCTTTCTGAAATTCCATAATTGGAATGCTATAACCAAGTATTATAAGTGCTGTTCCAAGTCATTGCCTGTGAACTGATCTATTGGTGGAATCAAAAGTAGAGCTTTTATCTTCATTATTTGGGCCAAGCAATCCCACAAAGAAATTGATATAAACTTCAATTAATGACTCTTATACTGACTTCTACATTATTTTATATTATTCACGAATCCAACTGTTTACCATGGTCAATTTGTTGCTCTTTTTCTTGGTAATTTCTTTTGAAAGGAAGAAGGATATTTATATACATGACAAAGCAGCCTTTAGTCCATAAGTGTTCTCTGCAATGCATTCATTGGCCCAGCCTTCTTATTGATGTTCTCTAGATGGATTAAAACTGTAACTAGAACTCTGTAATTTCTAGCCATCAGGGTCCCACTTGGTTATTAAAATGACATGGGACACTACTTATTTACTAAGAATGCACCTACTAATACAGTTTTCCAGAATGAAAAGGTAAAATCTCCCCTAACTTGAGTTATCATCTGGAGACTACATGTCCGTGTCCATATTGTTTTCTTAACCAGGTGGAAGTTACTTCCCATTGCCTTTTGGTGTTATTAGTTTCCATTCTACTCCACAAACTGAATTTACTGATAGTCTCACATTAAACTACTTACCAGGTCCTGCTCTGCTTAGCTTCTTCAGGATTAGCCAAATTCATCTAGGTACTGCACCTGTTGTAACAAGTAATGTTTTTTTTAATTGTTCCAGTTACTTTACAATTCGGTGAAAATGTCTGTCTTGCCCACTCACAATCCGTATACATAGAATTTTCTTGAACAGTATATTACCTATTTTTACAATGTTTCTTGTAAAAAAGTAGCATGCAAATGCAGGTATGTATTTTATGTGTTTAAAAATATGTTTAGGAGCAATAGTGGTAGTAGTCATAATAATAATCCAGGGTGTCTCTCTTCTTGTCTTCATTGTGTTTAACTTGAAGCTTTTGAATAATTGCATCTTCCAACTCAACAGTCCAAGCTTTCTTTTTATAATATCTTTCCCATTCCAGTTTCTTCTTATGGTTCTACAAAATGTTGCTTATGATTTGTTTCTTCCTCATGCCTAATTCCACTCCTTGACTTTCTTTTCTCCTCCCACAGTGACATGGCTGGTCCTCAGTGAGATCTACCCAGCTAGCATACGGGGGAGGGCTTTTGCGTTCTGCAATAGTTTCAACTGGGCTGCCAATTTACTGATCAGTCTTACATTCCTTGACATCATTGGTATGTATAGTACTGGCTTGTTGTTGACATTCTTTGCTGCTGATAACCATAGCAGAGCTGATAATAGGGTGCACTTAGACCAGTGTTTCTCAATCTCAACAGGTTTTGGACTTATGGACTTCAATTCCTAGAATTCCCAATTCTGGGAGTTGAAGTTCATGTGTATAAAGGTGATGAGGTTGAAAAACCCTGATCTAGACCCAACAAAGGGTCACTGCCTTTGTTTGAGGATCTTGTCTTTCTGTTTATTATGTCACTTCTTGAGTCATGATCAGACATACTGTATATAATAACTAAAATGTTAAATTTAGATTCAAGACTCAAATCTCTGCCAAACCAGAAAACTCAGTTCAAGGCAATCTTAGTCTACTGTAAGCCAGAGGCCATGGTGCTTCTCCTTATTTTCTTGGATGGGCAAAAGTAACATTTAAAAAAAGATATAATGGTGTTATTAGAAGAAGAAGAAATCCAAAGTCCATAGCTGGATAATGTATTTATTAGGCAATACAGTATTTCCCTCACAAAAGAGCAGACCAATATTTACATGTTCCAGACCTCTGCATCAGAGGAGACAATATTAAGGCTGCAGAAGAAGGTAAAAAATCCAAAATTACACCAGATGTTATGGTTTGCCATTTAGTGTCATTCTCAAGATTGGGATTACAGACTGAATGTATTAAGTCACTAGTAGATATTAAATTAAAAAATTACAATTAGTAGTCTGAAACAGTTGTTGACACAGATAAGTGCAACCCCAAGTCTGAAATTTAAAAATTCAGTTGTTTCCTATTACAATACAATACAATACAATACAATACAATACAATACAATACAATGGAATACGAAACAAAAGAAAACAGACAATTCTGAAGCTAATATGAAGCTACTTCTGAAGCTCAGTTGAACAAGTAAGATTATAAACTATCTGATTTTCTGAGGTCTATAAAGATTCTTAATCACACAGGTCATGGTTGAAGAAGAAACTGTAGAAGCTTTTTGCATGAGAAGTGAAACATTTTCAAAGAAGAAAGGAAAAAAAGTCCAGTTATCTTTTGGAAAAGCATCTCTGGAACTTCTATTAGAAGGGTTGCATTTCTTCAGCTAATTTAGCTGGTTTAGACATTGTTTCTTTCAGAAATTTTTAGAATTATTTTTGGGTTTGAAGTAATAATATTTCAATATGTCAAAATATTTCAAGTATTGCCAGATATTTTAATTCCAGAAATATTATGTCAGCACTCATTTGTAGTTCAGATATGTATTAGTCTGCGTGTGGAAGAGGAAAGCCATCTGGTCCTGCTGTTAATAGTAAAACTCATCTGAAAAGTATTTATGGCAATTGTCCATCCCCAAGGTACTAAAGGTGGAGAAACACTGCAAAACCATGCTGTTAATGTTTTTAAAACCTTTTATTATTGTTACTACCTCACCCCTGAGAGATTTTGCAATCAAAATGCTATAAAATGGTAATTTAATTAAAATGACTGGCACTTTTTACAATGCATCTATTGTTGTAATAATGCCCAGATTAAACTTCTGATTTTGCTGAATGCATGAGTCTAATAAAGTGTAAATTTACTTTTGAAAGGAAATTTTGCAGCTCCTTTTAAGTAGCCTCTGGTAAGCCCCTGATTTCACGAGAGCCTATCCCAGCAAATGTGGCTTTATGTCATACATTGATTTTGTTATATTTCTCCATGCAGATGTCATTGGCTTGTCGTGGATTTTCTTTTTCTATGCACTGGTGGGATTTGCGGCTGTATTATTTATTTATTTATTTGTACCTGAAACGAAAGGACAGTCTCTGGAAGAAATAGACCATCAGTTCTCAAAGAAGCGGTATGTCTTTAGTATCTGTCACAGCTAACACTGATCAATGCAGAAGTATTTTGCCCGTATCATAGAGAATTTAGAAAAGTAAGGTTTTACATTTAGGCAAGAAAAATGAAATATACAGGTACAGTATAGGTGGTACCTTGCTCAATAGTAGTAACTGTGAGAGGGATCTTGAAATCCTAGTGGACAATCATTTAAACATGAGCCAGGAGTGTGCAGCAGCTGCCAAAAAAGCCAACATGATTCTAGGCTGCATAAACAGAGGGATAGAATCAAGATCACGTGAAGTGTTAATACCACTTTATAAT